TGCTGTACAATTCTACTCTGCCTGCATTGAATCTAAATTCTGAGTTTCTTACCAAAGCATATTTAGAAAAGGCACCCTTGCTGAATCCAGATCAGAAGAGTTTGCATGCCATGTAGTGCTGACAGCATGTACACAGTGCAATCCTGCCATCCTGCTGAATTGTCTGTTTCATGACATTACTCTGAGGGTACAAGAGATGCACAAAGTAAAAACTGTGAAGGCTAAAGGCATGTTGCCAATTGATTTATGAAGGTGAAATGTAGTAGACAAGAAGATGGTATGCCTAGGAGGGAAAGCCCACTGTATTTCCTTGCTGCATAAAAGGAAAAAGAAGCTAAAGGAAAATGAAGCTAACTTCTATCCTTCATCAAAATAAGCGTTATACTTCTGCTAAGAATTACCAAGAGGCACTTACTGAAAAGACTACTAGGTGCCACAATGAACTTTTTTTGGGGGGGGGGAACATGTGTGTATGTGTGCGAACTGCCATGATGTCGCTTCTGACTTACAGCAACCCCATGAATTAATTTCCTCCAAAATCTCCTGTCGTGAACAGCCTTGCTCATGTCTGGCAAATGGAGGACCGCGGCTTCCTTTATTGAGGCGATCCATCTCATGTTGGGTCTTCCTCTTTTTCTGCTGCCTTCCACGGTGCCTGGGATTTCTTAAGCCGTGCTGTAGAAGTTTACAAGCTGGTGTTGGCATGGGGAAATGACAAGGAACTATGTGCAAAGACCGTAACTATGTTATGTGCAAAGACCGTAACTATGACCGTATCCTGTACCACACATCAATCACAACACAATGGCAACTGAATGTGCTCTCGGGAGGAAAGGGTCCTATTGGCCCATGTACAAAATGTTGCACACCAAATGCTAGAAAAATAGAATATCCTCATACCAGAAACACTACGACAAGAGCTGAATGTTCTCTGCAAACTGGTAACATTAAAATGCGGAGATGCCTGTGCAGTTAGGAGGTTCCCCTAGACTTGTCTGCCATTTCAAGCTATGGGCCATGATTCCAAGGATATGCACAATCCTGCAAGAGTTTGCCTGCCCTGGCTCCATTATAATCCTTTGATTTACGTTCCCCTGAAATCCAGTATAAGTTGGTGCTCACTTCAGAAGGGGAGACTGACTTCAGATAAGTGTAGATCTGCTCTGCGGCTCATGGTTCTTAGCTATAGTTTGTGGCAGTAATTATTCCACCATGCTGACCCTACTATATCTGTAGCTACAACTCTGTACTGTGCTCCAGTGCAATCATCATATCAACAGCTGAGGCTTGATGCTGACAACACATGGACTTTATTTATTGTACCATTCCCCCCCCCCCCCCTTTCAATAGCCCTGGCTGCCAAGTCCATAACTGGCCATTTGTCATGTAGTTTTCTTTTTCTCTCTCCAGGTAATGTAAAGCTACGATAATATTTTTCCACTTGCAGCACTTGATGTAGGAAGACTCGCATCAGTCACACATTATATTTAGGAAGGTCATAGTGCACAAGGATAGACTTGCCCAGCTCTGTTCCTGGCCAGGCTGAAGCAGCTTGACCAGGCCTGGTGGTGAGTTTGAGGCAGCCCGTAGCTTCAGCTTGGAGTGGAGGAATGAACAGTGCAATCCTAAAACGAGTAACACACTGCTAGATGGGTGTGATTCCGTTTAGGATTGCACTGTAAATTTTGTTAACTATCTTCAAGCTTTGCAAACTTAATCCATGCTGTAGAACAATTAAAGGGCCAAACTACATCAACGGTGAGCAAGAGATCAACAAGGAGCCGGTACAAGAAACCCAATCTGTGCAACTGAAACTATACAACTTTACATTACTGATAATCGACATGCCGATTAATAATCCATACAGTTTCCACAAACCAAACGCTGGTTGTTGCGAGTCCTTTATGAGGAAGTGGCACGTGCAGAGTCTGATAAATCGCACCCTCTGCAATTGTGGTAGTGCACTGGGATAAATCTGTAAATGATTAACTCTTGGGTCACTATTAATCTCTATCATTTCCCTTTCAGCAAAGCATCTCTAAGAAGCCTTTCAAGTCCCATAGAAATCTTTGGCTGCCATTCCCTTCTCTCACTGGTTATGCTAGCATTCCAAGTGCCCCTAAAGATTAAATTTTATTTTAAAAAGATCCATAGGCTGCCTACCTGTGCTGCAGAACCTTAATAAAATGTGATGAATAGGTGAAAAAGCAACATAGGCCCCAGTCACACAGCAAAGTTGCCGCGGGAGAGGCATGGAAGGTGGGCGGATTATCCGGGCGCGATCACACCCCAACATCTGGGAAGTGGAGCGCACCCGTGGCTTACCGCCGACAATGCACATTTAAAAACTAGTACCTCCAAGGTACTAGTAAACGTTTGCCACGGGCTGCCTCCAGACGCCCGTGGTGTGATCCCGACGGCATTCCCCTCCGGTCCCTCGTTTACCTGCTGGCACCGAAGGAAGGACCCGTGGTGTGCCGCCGACCCATCTGATCGCCTAATCGCGAATCAAACTGCGCCGGGGCAATTAGCCACGCCCCCCCCCCCGATATCCGGCCCGTGTGACCGGGGCCATAGTAGCTGGACATGTTTTGAAGCGACTCCTAATTCCCTTGGCGTCATCCCTGCATCAGACTAAAAACTTGAATATTGAAAAAGTTGAGCTGACACTGCGCAGCCTCCACCGAAAGTTCTGCCAGAGGTCCTGTGCCCTTTTCCTGGTTACTCCTTATGGCTAAATACCACAACACTACTTGGCTTTTTTAGTTGTTAATTGATGACAACATAGGGTTTGGGGGCTACTGTGCCCCCCCCAGCACATTTCCCCCCTGCTGGAGGAGTTAAGCATCTCTTTCCCGCACAGCTTTCCTATGGCTCTGAGCCGGATCAATGTAACACTGGGCTGCTTGTTCTCACAACTGCACACTCTGGATGCAGCAGCAACACCAGTGTTGTGTTGCTGCGGTGTCAGCACACCTCTCACTGGGGTGGTACTTTGTTCTTCCCAGCTAGTTGTTCCTGTTCCTACTACAGCCCTTGGACTGCCAAATACTAACTGTAGGCTTCTTGTGGGTAGATCTTCAGGAGTTTAGCAGGAAACAATGTGGATGATTTGCTAAGTGATAAGGAAGTCACCGACTACTGTGCCAGGCAGTTAGATGGCAAGCCAAGACAAAATACTCTTGGTGAGTCAGTTAGTGAAACATCTGGATGCCACTGGTCCAAGATAGGGAGCTATTAACACTAAGAATCTCAGTCTTTCCAGAAGTAGCTTGTTGCCCAAGCCACTGGCATTAGATGTTAGAAGCACAGAAGATGTTCTGTGATTGTGAATCTACAGAAAACACTGCCCATACAAAACATGGCCACAGGAAAGATTGTATGGTTTGTGTTTTGTTTGCATTTTCCTTGGCCCAAGCAACAAGACTTGTCTGGGGAGAGTTCATTTCTTGTTTATTTCAAATTGTTTGTTTGTGTATCCTGTGTTGTAAAAGAAAATGCAAACAGACAGCAAAGCTTTCAGTGGGGCCTTTGAAATCATTGTACTGATCTTAGGATAGTTAAGGCTACAATTCTGCACATGCTTACTTTAGGGTTAGCCCTAGCAAAATCAGTATGACATATTTCTGAGCGGAACTGTGATATTAGAACATTTACAGTACAATCTGGCCAGAATTACTCCAGTCTAAACCCAGTTAAATTGAAGTAATTCTGCACAGGATTCCACTTTGTAAAAAATCTCAAAATGTGTGTGTTGGTTGTGAGGAGGGGCATGTGTGGTGACAATGGCCTAGCCATCAACTGCCACTTTTTCCTTCTTGCTGACCATATACAACTGGACAGGGCTCACTGCTAAAACTACTTCTGGTGTTAGAGAGAAGTCCCAGAATATCTGGACTATGAGATTAAAGCATAATGATACAGGAAACCAGAAAATAAATGCTGGTTTTTTAAAATATATTTTTAAAGGAAAACTATTTAAAAACCCCTCAAACATTTAAAACCTTGAAATAAATGTGATATAATACCTCTTATTAATACTAACAAAAGTAACACAATACAGCAAGGAGGCTTTCAAGTTCTCTGGAACTTTTTATCAGATTGGATGTTATGAGGGTAAGAGAGAACAAAGATGTATCAGATCATGATCTTAGGGCCACTTGTCTACTTTTGTGACAAATTGGAACAAAGTGCTGCTAAAATCATATTTGTGCAGATGCAGACAAGGCCCCCTTCAGCTGAGAAAAAGGGCTGAAGAACCTGGAAGACTGCACACTGTTCTGCATACTTTTGCTTTGTTGTAGTAAAAGGTATTACTTAGCTTTTGTATTTTGCATCACAGCATCCTCATAGAGAATAGAGTCAGATGGGTTGGTTTGAAGTAGCAGAACAACGTTTGAGTCCAGTGGCACCTTAAGACCAACGGAGTTTTATTCAAGGTATAAGCTTTTGTGTGCACACACACTTCCTCACACACAATAAAATTAGGGTTGCCAACCTCCAGGTGGTAGCTGGAGCTCTCCTGTGATTATAACTGATCTCCAGGCAGCCGAGATCAGTTCCCCTGGAGAAAATGTCTGCTTTTGAAAGGTGGACTCTATGGCATTATACCCCATTGAAGTCCCTCCCTTGGCTCCACCACCAAAATCTCCAGGTATTTCACAGCCCGGAGCTGGCAACCCTAATTTCATGATGTCTGAGGAAGTCTGTGTGCACACGAAAGTTTATACCTGGAATAAAACTTCGTTGGTCTTAAAGGTGCCACAGGACTCAGACTTTGAACCACGGAAAGTCACTTTTCAATACAATTCTCCCCTGTCGCCATCATTATCGGAAACGAATACGCGGGATACTGCTTTTCCTTCTTAGCGCCTAAGTCCCATCTAAAAAGGCACATATGCCACTCTCAAGATGGCTGCCAGGAGTTCCGTACCGCAGAGGCAAAACGCCTCTATGGTTTTTAACGTCACATCCAGCGAGGTTCTAAACGGAAACGACCTCTGTTTATTCCCCTGCTCCTCAAAGAGCTCTGGAGTGCGTGGCTCCGTCGCCGTCGCTATGGAGACCGTCGACGGCCGGCTGTCGGTGTCGAAGACCCTGAGAGCTCTCAACGGTGTCCTCACAGGAAAGGTCGGCGAGGGAGGCCGCGGCTCGGTGTGGTTCAAGGAGAGCAGCAGCCGGAACTTGCGTAGCCGCGACTTCCTAGCCCCACGGGCTGCCCTGAGGGCGGTGTTCGGGGACGGAGAGGTAGGAGCGGGACCTGATTGAAAAGGGGGCGTGGCGGCGTGAGTGTTGCTGTCTCCTGTTTGGGGGTGCGGGGGGGGGGGGATAGCTGAAATGATTCTGTTAAGTAATATAATGAAACAGGAGTCCAGAAGTAAATTAAAGACTGTGTTAAGTCATTTTCGACTTATGGCGACCCTATGAATCCACGTTCCTCCAAAACGTCCTACAGTTCACAGCCTTGCTCAGGTCTTGCAAACGGAGGACCGTGGTGGCTTCCTTGACTGAGTCGATCCATCTCACGTTGGGTCTTCTTTTTCCCCGCTCCCTTTAACTTTTCCAAGCATCGTTGTCTTCTCCGGTGACTCTTGCCTTGTGGCAGGGCATCCAAAGTACGATAGCCTCAGTTTAGTCACTTTAGCTTCTAGGAAGAGGTCAGGCTTGATTTGATGTAAACTAATCTAGTAGAATTTATTTAGGTAGCAGGATTTTTAATTTTAATTTTATAAACTTTATTGATTTATGAACACTTACGCTATAATAAACGTTAGTCTTTAAGGTTCTGTTAGATTAATCATTTATTGAGTTGCAACAGACTAAGATGTCAAGTATTTGAAAGGCTGTCATGTAGAGAATGGTGCTGAGTTCTTTTCTGTTGCCCCAGAAGGTTGGACCAGAACGAACAGGTCGAAATGAAATCAAAAGTCTTTGGCTAAGCATTAGGAAGAACTTCCTGGCAGTTAGAGTGCTTCCTTGGTGGAACAGGCTTGAGAGGTGGTGGGCTCTCCTCCTTTGGAGGTTTTCAAAGGTTGGAGGTTTGGCCATCCGATAGCAATGCTGATTGTGTGAACTTAGGCAGATCAGGAGAAGAGAGGGCAGGAAGGGTTGCATCAGTGCTTAGTTCTCGTGGCCCTTTCTTACAAGCCCAGGGAAATGCCTATCACCACTCTGGGGTCAGGAAGCAATTGTTCTCCTGGCCAGTTTGGCCAGGGATCCTGAAGGGTGTGGGGGTTTTTTGCCCTCTTCTGGGCATAGAGGAGGGGTCACGGGGGGGGAGAGGTAGTTGTGAATTTCCTGCATTGTGCAGGGGGTTGGACTAGATGACCCTGGAGGTCCCTTCCAACTCTATGATTCTATGTTACCAACCCATCCGGACCTGTTAATAGTTATGCAAGCATGAGTTGAGTGTTGGGGAAGGTATCACACATGGGTGGTGATGTTCTCTGTCTTCCATGACCCTCTCTACTGGCAATTTCCAGAGGGACTATAAACAGGAGGCCTTTGGCACCATGAAGGATCACAAGCTTCTTCTTTGACCATAAACATCTGTGGACTAGAGCCTGCTTCTTCAGTATCTGTCAAAAAGAACCGAGTCTCGAAAGCTTATACCCTAAAAATCTTGTTGGTCTCTAAGGTGCTACTGGACTCAAATCTAACATGTCTACAGAGGCCATCTAGCGGGTTCTGGTCTACAGAAGTAATGACAAGCACATTTTCTAAATCGATATAGTCTTCCTAGCTTTGCTTTGTTAATTTAACTCCTGTATTGGGGAGAGAGCAGGCTAGATGGAACTCATTAGATCTTGGAAGCTAAGCAGGGTTGTCCCTGGTTTGGTGTAGTGGTTAAAAGCGGTGGACTCTAATCTGGGAGAACTGGGTTTGATTCCCCACTCCTCCACATGCAGCTAGCTGGGCGATCTTGGGTCAGTTACAAGTTCTCTCAGAGCTGTTCTCTCAAGAGCAGTTATCTCAGAGCTCTCTCAGCCCCACCTGCCTCATAGGGTGTCTGTTGTGGGGAGAGGAAGGGAAGGCGATTGTAAACCACTCTGAGACTTCGAGTGAAGAGTGGGGTATAAATCCAATCTCCTCTTCTTCTTCTGGTTAGTATTTGGATGGGGACACTAGGATTGCTAGGCAGAGGCAGGCACTTAAAAACCACCTCTGTTGGTCTCTTGCCTTGAAAACCCAATGGGGTTGCCATAAGTTGGCTGTGACTTGACAGCACTTTCCGCCACCAGTGGGGAGAGAATAATATTTTTATTTCCATTATTGCAGCACATATTAATATGCCTAACTTTGCTCATACTTCTGAACATGCAGCTAAACAGTTATGCAAATAGCTTCCCACTGGAGGTTATTTAGGGTTGGGGAGAAGGTGTGGGGGGAGCAGGAGCCCCCTTTTCAATCCAAGCCACTCATCTTCACCAAAATCACCAAAATCAGCTTCTGAGGATTTGAAAGAGACATTTGTGAAGTTGATATATGACTTTGATCAAAGCAGGGAACCTGGAGACAACTTGTAAGCAAACATATTTTGTAGCTTAGCCCTTTGCTGCCACTTACATAGAGTTCTTCTTTCAAACAGCCAGCACTGATTGTCATTTCTGTCTTGTTCTGTAACAGGTTCCTGATGGGATTGCCGAGAAGGTGTTATTGATAAAATGTCCAGGTGTGCCACCCATCCAGAGCTGCCAAAAGGGCCCGACAGGACTGACAGTGCATCTGGACAGACCTGTTGTCTTTGCAGAGATCCTGGAATCCATTCCTTTATATGCCAGACCTCCACAGATAGTCCCTGGGCACAGCATTGTGCTCAACTGTGTGCCCCTGCATGGGTGCAAGGGCCTGAACTCGCTCAGTCTGAGTCATCTGAGAGCTATCCTGGTCACTGACCACCTGGCTGATGTGCTCCAAGCTCAAGGGTCAGTTGATGGAGCTGCTCTTGCCATGGCTCAGTGGTAGAGCATCCGTTTGGCATGCAGAAGGTCCCAGGTTCAATCCCCAGTGTCTCCAGTTAAAAGGCCAGGCAGTAGGTGATGCGAAAGACCTTCGCCTGAGACCCTGGAGAGTCACTGCCTGTTTGAGTAGACAATACTGAACTTGATGGACCAAGGGTCTGATTCAGTATAAGGCAGCTTCATGTGTTCATTGAGGACCAAATCTCACCAGTCACAAATCTAGAAATGTGCAGAGCTTGCCTGTTTGTCTGCTTAAGACACTCAGCTTAATTTCTGCGCGGCTCGAGGCCATTAACATGTGGTGGGCATGGCAGGGTGTATTCTTGCTGCTTCTAGTAGCTCCTGCAAAACTCCTAGCCTTTTATGGTTGTGGAAGCACAGTAGGGACTCTGAGGGCAGGGTCTCTGCCAAAAGCAGAGGGGCTTGGGGCTTGACTGTCCAGTGATTAGGCAGCAGGACTTCTTCACTTCACCTGCTTCAATGTAGGAGATTTTCCCTAGACTGCAACCTGGGTTACTCATATTCAACAAGCATGCATGTGTGTCCTCCTTCCTCATGAAATGTATTCTGTAATATAATTGTATGGCATTGTGTGTGGAATAGCCAGGAGATCCCGAAGGATTGATTGACTGCCTGAAGCGGTAGCTCTCTTTTGGCATCATCAGGTGGCAAGCTATGCTTATCTGGCTTCAAGTGGGGAAGTGGTTCTCCGGATTAGAGTCCACCGCTCTTAACCACTACACCAAGCTGTCTGTCCAACAAATTCTGTGTCTGCTAGCTAAGGGGAGCAGCAAGCCATGCAAGACACTGAACACCCGTCACCTAATGGAACAGAATAGGGGAAACAGTGCTGCTGGAAGTGCCACAGCTAATGCAGTGTGATCCTGCCCTTGTAGGGTGGATGTCCATGTGGTCCCCGCTTTGGCTGATGAGGAAATCCAGAGATTCCTGCACCAGTTGCGAATTGAGTGGCCCGCAGGTTCGGAAACCTCCCCCAGCTCTGAGGATATCCTCGCCATGAAGGACGCCCTCCGCCAGTGCCCTCATGCCATGTTCGCTGAGACAGATCAGGAGGGAGTTGTGTGCAAACTGCACTTGAAAGGGTTCTTGGGAAAGCAACAGCCAAAGAAAGAGAGCCTGGAAGGATATGACCCGAACCTGGACGTGTTCCTTGGTAAGTATCACTTAAGCACATCACTTGTCTTACCCCCTGAGGCGGGCTGTGGTATTTCTGTATCTGTCCTCGCAGTCTCGCAAAGTAGGTCACCACAAACACTCAACGTTTTATAGATGTGGAAACGGGCCTGGGATCAAATGACTTGCCAAGTAGTGAGTGAGTACGGCTGGATTTGCTTTGAGTCTTAGCTCTAGTTGGCTGCTTCAAATCTCAGTAAAGGGAGCCCCTGGGGAAGCCGGGGCCTCGCTGCTTCAAAAGCGTGCACGACGAACTTCCTTGACCCATTCTCCCCCTCCTCTGTTGCAGTGACAGAGGAGAAGCTGCTCCATGTGGCTGAGCTGCAGCGTGCGGCCTCACGGTGTGCGGTGAGTCGAGAGCTGGCCTCCTTGGGGCCCCAGCGGATTCTCCCCTAGGCCTGGGTCTAATGTGATCTGCTGCTCTCCTGCAGGTGTCTGTGCCAGGAAGATGCGATGGCATTGTGCACGTGGTGAGCCACGAGGAGGCATTCCAGCAGCAGAAGGTGGACTTGCTGTGGAGGTTGGTCGCTCCGCAAGCTCCCCCACCTGCCCCCCAGGTAAGGAGCTGTATTTCTGTCCAGGGTGACGTACAGCACAGAGTGTGTGTGAGGCTTTTCCTGTTGCCTTCCTCCTTAAGTCCCCCTTTCCTCCTTTAAAACCTTCTTCCTCCTTGTATTACATTTCCTTCCTCCTTTAATTGATACTAATCTTCCCTTGTATCCCGCCGGCTGTTTTTACCCACCTTTGTCTACTAGGCGTCGTAAGCCGAAGGGAAAAAACGCAGCCAGCCTTGCTGCAAAGAAAGCTCAGTGTGTGTAATTTGATAAAGCGTGTGTGCACACCAAAAGCTCATCGCTTGAATAAACCTTTGTTGGTCTTAAAGGTGCCACTGGACTCTAAATGTGTGTAATTGAGACAGGCCAGAAGTGACAGAGTAGGATGTCGGAGAGCTTTGCGCTGGAAGCACACATGTATTGTGTGCTCAGCTCACCCCCCAAAAAGCATAGAAATGAATAGCCTTGTGCAGAATACGGTACCCTGAGAATCTAAGTTTTAAAAGAACAAACATTGAGTTTCTCGTTTCCATGGCTGGGAGGACAAAGTAGGAAATGTGAAGGTTGCCCATTGAAGACCCAGCAGATTCCACCCAGAGGCTGAAGAGAACGGACTTTAAGTGTAGTCAGCATTGGGGTCTTTAGGTTACTGATTATATTCCTCCCTGTACAGCTCCTATTCCACCTATGTCCAGCTGCTCCCTCATCACATCTTCCTCCCTAACCCCTTTACCATCCATGCTGTCTTTCACGGGAGGATCAAAATCAGTTGAAAAGATAAATCTCTGCATTGTGACTCTGTAAAATACACGCAAATTGGGGGGAGTGTCGTTTTTTGAATAATTGTTTCCATAGCCAAAAGTCTAAACAGACTTGCTTGTAGTCAGGTAATTCCTCATTCCTTCTGAGCAGATAGCCAGGTTAACAGAGGCCTCTGCTGACATGACCCCCTGTCTGCTTTCTTCCGTAGAAACACCTTGTCTGTGGACCAGTGAAAGTCCCCGCTGCCGCCTCTCCTGTCACCATTCTTCAGTACTTCCAGTGAGTAGGGCCCTATTCCTCCTCTCAGAAGACCATTGTGCTCTGTTAAAATGACAATGAGAATGGACCCTGTTTCCCCCTTCTTCTGCAAGGTTCTGGGCCAGGTGACAATAGCATACGCTTCCCTGAGCTCCCTCTTTGGGCCGTTGGTCGGGGGGCAGGGAGGAATTTCCCATTACTGTCTTAATCAGCCACTTCCCCCCCAAAAAAACAATTTTTATTCTTTTTCAAAAGGAATACAGAATTCAACATTATAATACACAAAAAGGTTGCTTCACTTAGAGAAGAAGAAAAAAAGAATACTATAAGATTTCTGTCTCATAACAACTTACATTCTTTCAGAATACAGAATACAGAGTGATAAACTTATAACTTGTCAACTGTAAATCATTATTTTATATCTAGCTTTGTTGATGCTTTCCCAATTAAAGTTATCAAAGGTTATTTTTTCTATCATGGGGAATAGCCAGAAGTAGAGAGTCAATACCTTTTTGTTTTCTTCCATAATGAATGATATTTAGTGTTTTGCGGATGTTGTCCGAAATATCCCTAGTCGCCATAAAACCCGTCTGGTCTTTATGAACATAGTTGCCCATAATTATCTTTAGTCTTGCCGCAATGACTGAAGTAAACATTTTATAATCTAAATTGAGCAATGAAATAGGGCGATAGGATTTTGGATCTGATACGTCCTTTCCTTTTTTTGGTATTAAAATTACATTAGCAGCTTTCCAGGTCTCAGGAAGCTTGCCCGTTTTAATCACTTTATTGCAGGTCTCAGTGAGTAATTAATCAGCCACTTGATAGGCAATTTTAGCCTACTTGTGCAGGAACTCAGTCCTGGCTTGGCATAAAACAGCTTTGCTTCTAATTCCCTTGTATACAGTGGGGCTCCAGTGATCTGGGTCCTAGGCTCTGCTTAACTTAGAATGCACTGAGAAATGTGAAGGCAGGCTTAGCTGCAGTGAGCCTGCAGCCTATTCCCCCCCCCCCCCCGGGGGGAGAGGGGGGTGATGGGGTCCCTCTCCTCCTCCTCCTGCTCCTAGTGTTCCCAAAAACCCCAGTATTGTGCAGAACACACAAGTTGCTCAGTCTCTCTTCTAAGTGCTTCCAGCCTCTCCTTTAATACTTTTGTTTATCTTGCTAGGCTGAGACACTCCCAGATGTATGAGGCTTCAGTGCTGAAGTATGGAGACCTCTCTCAGGGTAATTTCTCATCCCAGTGCTTGTCGTTTGGCTCCTTTTTGGCTGAGGTGCTTTCCAGAGGATTAGCACTTCATCAGTTGGCAGCACCGGGGCTGCTCCATTCTGCCAGCGTATTTTGGTGATAATAAAATCCAGGTTTGGGCCCATCACTCAGCTTCTTGGAAGATGCTGTTGTGAGCTTCCTTTTAGGCTTCATGTTTGGCAGGGTGGGACAGGTCTTTCCTCTTAGACCCTTACAGCCCCTTCACTGAGAAGTACAAGTTTCTTAGCACTGGCATCACTGAACTCCTCCCCGGCTCTTAAAGAAGAGGAGAAGAGAATAGATTGGATTTATACCCTGCTCTTCACTACCTGAAGGAGTCTCAGAGCGGCTTACAATCTCCTTTCCCTTCCCTTCTCCTCCCCACACCCTGTGAGGTAGGTGGGGCTGAGAGAGCTGTTTCGAGAACTGCTCGTGAGAGAACAGCTCTGAGAGGACTTGTGACTGACCCAAGGTCACACCAGCAGCTGCATGTGGAGGAGTGGGGAATCGAAACCAGTTCTCCCAGATTAGAGTCTTCACCACCTTCTGGCTTGCTCCCTGCAGATGAGGCCTGGACAGAAACGATCAGTGTCTTGACGTCAGCTGCCATCCGATTTGAGATGCTGAGCACAGCTCATCGGAACCAGGTAAATGGGAGGCTTCTTCTGAGGGTGCCTTTAATTGGCAGTTGTTTAGAAAGAGATTGGGGTGCTGCCTGGAGGTGGCAATGACATCAGCTGAGCAGAGGGCAATTCAAAATATCAACCATCTTTCTTGGATTGAGGCCGCTTTATGCTTGTATAGGACAGCACTGCTCATGGTAACATCTTCACCACAAGGGGAGGGTGCCGTGTTGTAACTGGAATATATTTTATGCGAATATCTTCTGGTGGTAGAATTTTTGTGTGTACGGGGGAATTGGATTGCAGGATATGTGGACTGTGGAGTGGTCATATGCACAGCTTTCACTCCTCATTAACCAGAGGAGGCTGAAATAAAATTATGCCTGGCATTAACATTAAGCATGATCTAAGTCAGGGGTGTCAAACATAAGGCAGATGATGGCCAGAACCTGCCCATACTAGGGCAAGCAACTGGTATGGATGGAAGTGTAAAGTACTCCCCCGTTTTATGATATCCCTTGGAAAAAACCTAATCTTGCGTATGATTAAATACATTTATTTGGGCTTTTGTGGGTTCCCCAGTAAATCAATTGCTTTCACTGCTAGGAATCAATTGCTTTTGTTTGCATTTTGAGTAAAAAATAGTATTATTAATTGGGTTTGCCTGTTGTCTTTTATAAACTTTATCTCTCCGGTACCTGGCATTACATTTTATGGCACACATGATCCGGCCTGACAGAGTGACATTTATGTCAGATCCAGCCCACGTAACAAATGGAGTTTGACACCTCTGGTCTAAGCCATGGCAAATCTAAGTCTGCATGGAAACAAGGCAGAGGCTTAACAGGGCTAGTGGGAGTGAAGGTATGGACAGATCTTGGCATCTCGAAGTGGAGGAGGGTAGATGGATTCTGAGAAATGTAAAAACACTAGAGGTCTAGGAAGAGCGAAGCAGGCCACGTTACAGCAGGAGTCTGGACAGCAAAGAGGGAGCAGCTGCAAATGAATGGGTGGATTTGGCCCTTTGTAGGCTGATGGCCAGAGTTCCAGAGGTTTGTCTGTGTTGATAGTTTCTGGACTGTTTTGCCTGGTGCTTTGGTCATTTTCATTCTTCTGAGAGGAACCTCTGGCCAACATGCTCCTGCACTGACAGAGTTGATTCCACCTCCTCAGATTCTCTTGGATTTGGAGGAGCCCTGCATCTCTACCAAAGGGACCAAGAGCGGCACCTTCGTAATGTACAATTGCGCTCGCCTTGCCACACTGTTTGAAACGTACCAGCGGGAAGCAGAGCAAGGTGAGAGCTCTTTTCGCGCTGCATGCAAACCCTACCACCCTGGCCCTGGCCCACTGAAGTGCTCAGGGACTGGAGTATATGCCCAAGTTAGGCTGGGAGGTTTTCCCAGACAAAGCAGAGCTGCAGCCAGGCTGCCTCGTCTAAGACACAGATTCCTGAGCATTCTTGCCGTTTCCTTTCCTTAGCCCTCCTGACAATCAGAGCGGGCTTTTGCCAGAGGCTCAGGAACCAATTAAAAAGATCTGGATGGTGCTTCAACAGGATATGGGGTGGTATCCCCTCACACGGAACACAGTTCTTGGTGGCTCCCAGCTCCTCTAAAAAAATCATATTCTCCCTTGCTTTCCCCAATCCCGTTCTTTAAGAACGCCTAATACTGCAAAACCCCAACCTTTGCGCCTACAACGCATTTACAAAAAATGAGAACATAGTTATGTGCTGTCAAGTCACAACTGACTTATGGCAACCCGTCATGGAGTTTTAAAGGCAAGAGACCATCGGAGGTCATTTGCTGTTGCCTGCCTCGGCTTAGCCACCCTGGTCTTCCTTGATGGTCTCCCATCCAGATTCTAAGCATGGCTTTGGCATGTTTGGGCCAGTCAGGCTGCTGCATTTAGGTTTAATTTGCTTAGTTTATTTTAACAATTTGGTGCCAAAAATGTCCCCTGGTGAACCTACTTTTGGATCACCTGTGCGACTGTTACATGAAACATTCCTCGTCTGGCTGGTTTGTTTCCCTTCCCATTGCAGGCGTGTACCCGGCTTTTCCACTGCCTTCGGAGCTGAACTATTCCTCCCTCAGAGAAGAGGTGAGCAACCATGATGAAAAGGAGTACAAAGACCTGGTCTTTGGAGGGCTACTCCCATAGGACCCGCAGAGGTTATCAGCTGTGTCAGAAACGAAAGCATAATTTGGCAATCGGTTTTGAGTTCTGGTCAATCCCAACATTGGATAAAATGCATAGGAAGGAATAGGAGACGCTTTCATCCAGTCCCGTGCCAAAGGACAGGACCCGGATGCTAGCCTTGCACAAACGGATCCCTGCAATCCAGATCATCATCAGAGAACAGGCTGTGGCTTGGTAGTAGAGCATCTGTTTGGCGTGGAGAAGGTCTCAAGTCCAGTCCCTGGCATCTCCATTTGAAAGGATCAGGGAGCAGGTGATGTGAAAGGCCCCTCTCTTCCTGAGACCCTGGAGAACTGCTGCCACTCAAAGTAAATACACTGACAGAGCAGTGGTCTGACTTGACAGAAGTGATGCCAGGAAGCCTTTGTGTGACAGTAAGATGTTGAAAGAGTGGGTGGAGCTTGTCGAGTCAGGAGACCCCCCCCTTCCTTGATCATCTTCCTGCTCTTTCATACATGGGGGGCGGAGGCAGGTGGGACAAAGGTGGGTCTGCTCAGGCTTACGCGGAGGCTTCTGTTTATTCCTCCCTCCCTGCTCAGGGCGAGTGGCTCTTGTTGTTCAACGGTGTCCTGCCCTTCCAGGAGGTCTTGAGCCAAGTGATACAGCTCCCCATCTCCAGTAGTGGGATTGGGATCTCAGCCAGCACGGAGGCGGTAAGATGACTTTTCCAGGTCTTGGGGCGGATGGGACTGTTCAGCTGCCTTCCCTCCCCGGTCAGTTTAGCTTCCAGGTGTGTAAGCTTATGTTTGTGTGGGGATCCAGTATCACTCAGGATCTGTCTCCTTTGCAGAGCTCATTCCTGGAAAATTAGTGTTTTGTTTGCAGGGCAGTGGGTAGGAAAGGGCAGTGCTTTGGAAGATGGGGGTGGGTGGGGTATATTGCAGAAGTGCCCCTGTGGTCTGACGAGGACCGGCCATTTCATGCAGAGCTGGAGCTCAAGACTGTTATAACATTCACAGTGAATCTGGATCGAACTGATCGTTTCAGGGTGGTGGCACCTGTTGTGGAATGCAAGTCCCACAGTTAACTGTGCTGATTTCCACTGCACGTTCTCCTCTTCCAAATAGTTTGTATTCAGCAGACATAAATTTCCTTGGCTCTGTGTTTTAGGTCTGCAAGTTCTTGATCCAGCTGAGCATGGATTTCAGTTCTTACTACAACCGGGTGCACATACTGGGGGTAAGTGTCCTGGGCTCAGTAGGCAGGGCTGCCCAAGGCGTTGTGAGACATTCAAAAGAATTTCAGGTGCACTCTGTATTGGTTTCATTCACGACATATATAGATTCAAGAAGGGAGTGTGGCTCAGTGGAAGACCCTCTGCTTTGCATGCAGAAGGTTCCAGGTTCAATTCTTGGCATCTCCAGTCAGCAGGATGTGGCAGTAGGTGATGCGAAAGGCCTCTGCCTGAGACACTGGAGAGCTGCTGCCAGTCTGAGTAGGCAATACTGACCTTGATGGACCAGTGGTCTGATTCAGCGTAAAGCAGCTTGATGATGTGTGAAGGAGGACCACTTCTGAGTCAGAGACACCTGAGATAAGCTGGGTTTGGACTTAGGCTACCCCTTTGGTGGCAGGCAGAGACTTGATCCTGGTTTCAGTGATCAATTCATTCTCCATGTTAAAGGATGAGCCGTATACAGTAGAGGTGGAAACCAGTGCTCCCTCTAAGCTGTGGAGTCCTGTGAACAAAAATCCTACTCTGTGAGCTACTGGCATTAAAGCTGTGAGCGAGCGATTTGGCTGCTGCATCAATCAGTTTGCTCTGGAGCCCTCCTTCCTGAGCCAATACAAAAATGTGTGAGCCCGAGGCTAAGAAACTGTGAGCTAGCTCACACTAACTCAGCTTGGAGGGAGCACTGGTGGAAACTCCACCCTATATTAGGCAGTAAGTATGAAGGGGGAGGTGTGGGCAGAAGCTTCCCTGGCTCCAGCATCCCGTCCTGCTCCTTCTAGAGCTACTCTCCGCATTTGAGAGAGATGGAAACCACTTTTAATGGTATGTCCAAGTACTTGACAGAAGTAAAAAGTTCTTCCTCCTGAGCCTGATTCCCCAGGGGGGGTCACTCTTGGTGGTGGAAAGTGTCTTCAAGTCGCAGCCAACCTACGGTGATGCCCACAGGGTTTGGTTGTCAAGGCAAGAGATGTTCAGAGGTGGTTTGCCATTGTCTGCTTCTGTGCAGCAACCCCGGACTTCTATGGTTGGCCTCCCATTCAAGTACTCACCAGGGCCGGCCCAATTTAGCTTCTGAGATCTGAGGAAATAAGGTCAACCTGGGCCATCATGAGCAAAACCCCACCCCCTTTTGAGGTGAGAGCAGAAAAGGACACATTTCATGGTCCAAAACTAATTTTGGGATGTCCCCCAAAGCATGGAATTCCCTTAAATTGTTTTTAAGGTTTTCCCAACATTGAATCTATTCCATGTCTTGGGTGTGTGTGTTTTAGCCAGGAACTCCATGGGAAGACGAAAAAGGGGAAAAGCAAGAATCTCAGCAAGAAAGGAGTACTATAGATGGAGTAAATATATAATAAAATTCCCTTGCATCCGCAAGAAGCCGCATCTGCTGTCTGACCAGGCTAGGTGACTATTCTTTGTTGTTGTTGTCTTTGTTTCATCCAGGAGCCACGTCCCCACTTGTTCAGCCAGATGTTTGCCCGGTTGCAGCTTATGAGAGCAGTCAGAGAAGTGTTCCACAGTGCCCTGCAGACCCTCCATCTACCTCCTCTTAACCAGATCTGAGCAAGCCAGATGGACACCTGCTGTGGTCCTCCTCACAGGCACCCTGCAGCAGCCATCCTGACCTGGCCGGCTCCACTGCAAAGAAAAAGAGTCGGAGGGTTACACTCACCTGGTTGGGGCGGGCAGAGAACCGTTGTAATTGAGGATCAGCCAGCAGAACACAGCCTTGCAGTTTGGACTCAGAAGTGTTTCTCCTCCCCAGTGTGGGTAGAAAGAAGATCCAGAACGAGAGCCTTGTGTATTTCTGAAGTTGAGGGAGAGCTGCTGAAATCGTTTGGTGCCAATGTGTGGCCAATTGCTAGCTAGGAACATGGAGAACTAAACTACCTGGAAACAAAATGGGTGGGGTGGGGTGGGGGGCGGAAGGAGAGATGACTATACTACTCAAGGAATCACTTGGTTCTGATCCCTCACAGAGAGTAGGAAAAAAATGGCCTGGTGGTCAAGTTCAAGCAAGCTAAGAGTTTCCCGCTGATGGATGTAAAGAAGGGTTTATTGTACCCCCCCCCCCAAAAAAAAATTAAATTCTATTATAAAATGGCTGAAGCTTCTTTCAGTCCTGTTCACTGCCTCTCTACAAAGGGTTTTGGCATCAGCTGTGGACGCAAGGGGTTGCAGATAAAATGCAGAGATTCTCAGCTGCAGTTTCTCCAAAGGCATTGCTGGGGGCAGGCGGGTTGTGAGTGACTGTCCCACAAACACTGTCTCATTGTGAGACGTGGGCAGTTTGTACGGTATGGTAAATGTTAGGGAGCACAAGGGGTTACCAGCAAATCACCAGCGTGGCTAAACGGGGCATGAATCGCTGCTTCCTCCAGCCTGCCGTTCTCATCCTCCCGGAACCTGACACAAAGAACCTAACTAAGGTAGACAAGATGCTGAGAGGTCCATGACAGGAGCCCCCTGGCAGTTTTTATTATCTATTTTTATTGTGAAATTAGAAGTGTACATGATCAAAAGTATAAATTGTTACGCAATAAAAGACTTTGTAATAGATGAATCCTCTTGCTTGTGAAAAAAGCAACATGTAGTTAAATATCACAGTCAAATGAATCAAATATCGCATATCAAATCAAGGTTTAAGAACATGGAGAGAGGAGGAAAAAAGTCTGGTCCTCCCTGCCTTAACTTGCACTAGGCAACATCTTTAGTTATATAAAGAGAAGCTGAAGAACCCCACCGGGAAGCATTCTGAATCCTTGTAGTTATTAGCAAAATGTGAACTAATTCATAAAGCTTCTTCTTTAGTGAGCTTTTCAAAAAGCCTTACGGTACATTTACACATGGTGCACTTACAGTGCAGTCCTAAGCAGTGTTACAGCGTCGTGAATCCACTGAAGTCAAATGGGTCTAGAAGGTTATAAATCTGGTTCGGATTGCAGTTACTGGACTACAGTGTTTACTCATGTAAGATTAGGGTTTTCCCCCACATATATGCCACCAAAAGGGGAGGTTATCTTAGTTTTTAAATACAAGTTTCAGAGTGCGTTCAGACGAGCAGCCAATCCCACCATGATGCCGGCTCAAATTTGATCCCGATTTTTTAAATCCATTCTTGCACGACCAGACACCCCCAGGGGAATCGCCTTACTGCGTGCTGCTTCCGCTATGGATTGTCTAGACAGCGTCCACTGAAGGAGGCTTGTGTGATGGTGAAAGTCCGCAGTTGTCCCATCGGGTCCGGAAAACTCTAGATTCAAAGTACTGTCCTTTTAAGTCCGGATAGGAGGTGCGGCAAAATGGAATGTCTACGGAACAGGGACATTTCTTAGATGTTTGTGTCTGGTTGTGCATTTTTAATTCACCAGGGAATCATGCCTGTGGAGGATCTAAAGAGCCGTCTGAATGGACTCACAGTTCTGTTAAATAATATATTGTGTTTGTGACACTTCTAAGGGGGGAGGTCATCTTACATTCAGTGTCGTCTTCAATGCTCCCTATAAGCTGTGGAATCTTGTGAGCAAGAATTCTACCTTGTGAGCTACTGGCATTAAAGTTGTGAGCCAGCGATTTGGCTGCTGCATACATTAGTTTGCTCTGGAGCCCTCCTTCCTGAGCGGAGACAAAAATGTGTGAGCCGGAGAGTAAAAAATTGTGAGCTAGCTCACACTAACTCAGCTTAGAGGGAACACTGGTCGTCTTCCTTTTGAGTAGATGCAGTGTAAGGTCTTCTAACTGATTTAATAGCGTATATTGATTTTTCTCCAAAAGCCCCTGCTGTTATGATGACCCACCCCCCAACAAGTATGTTGAAACTATTTTGGTGACTCTCGACAACCCTCACAAATGTCTTTTACAATTTTGCAGCACTTACTCAAAAGGTAGGAGCAGTAAATGATTTACCACGCGGCTATTGTTAAAAGTACATTGCAACTGCCCCCACTGACTTGGATTGGGAGGGGGCATCAGGTAGGGGACAAAGGATTTTACCATTTAGTCATGACTGTGTGTGTGTGTGTGTGCGTGTGTGCACAGTTTTTACTGATTTAAAACAGTGTCTTTCCCTCTACATCCTCAACTGTTAAAAAGGTAGCTCTAACAACTGGTATTGCTGGTGGTTGGCAACAGTGTTCCCTCTAAGCTGACTTAGTGTGAGCTAGCTCAGTTTTTTAGCCTCTGGCTCTCACATTTTTGTCTTAGCTCAAGAAGGATGGCTCCAGAGCAAACTAATTTATGCAGCAGCCAAATCGCTCGCTCACAACTTTAATTCTGCTTTTATCTGTTTTAACTTTGGCACTCGTGCCTCTTTGTTAGCCGTCCTGAGCCTTCGGGGAGGGCGGGATATAAATCCAAAAATAAATAAATAAAATGCCAGTAACTCACAAAGTAGAATTTTTGCTCACAAGACTCCACAGCTTAGAGGGAGCATTGGTTGGCAAGATAATGCACATAAAGAGGAGGGAGGCCTAAGCCCCTTCTGCCTTGAGCCAACATCAGTTATAGGTGTGGCTGTAACTTACCTATTTAAAAATGCTGAGCAGATGAGTTCGGAGACTTCCTGGGATTTCTTGTAATTTGGTTTTAAATAGAAAAGGGGGGGGTTACCTGTTGTGATGGATGCACATATAAGTCTGCAAGGGTATAATAAATCCACAACCTTCCTGTGCATTTTGCACTGCTGTGGCCCTGTGGTGGTGGTGGTGTTTCCGTAGCAGGGAAGCACATTCTCTGAAGCCTCTGGATGCGTTCCACTTGGCCTCCTGTGCTGCCCAGCTGCCAGTTCCAGAGGCAGCCCCCGGAGCCCGCCGCTTCCCTTTCCCCCCAGCTGTCGCCAAAGGTGCTCTTACTGCAGCTGTTTCATGAAGAGGCTGAGGAGCTGCTGGCGTTGCACCCGGTGCTGCTGGCTCTGGTAGGGGGGCAGCTCAAAGAACGAGAACGTGAAGCTGCGGCTGAAGCTGAGGGGGGTGATGCTGGGCACGGGCGGGAGCCTCATCCCCTGCCCCTTGCTCCTGAAGTGCCTGGGCAGGGCTCTGCTCCGCCCCTTCTGCCGCGCCCTGCCACCTTGGAGCAACTTGGCCCTGCGCCTCTGCTCCCCGTCCCCATCCGGGGCCTCCCCTCCGAGGTCCGGGGGGGAAAAGCCGCAGAAGGCAGGAGGGCCTGCTCCTGAGCAAGGGATGCTGTGCAAGATGGACACCGTAGGTGTGAAAAGGGTATGGAAGGAGGCCTCGGACCGAGAGGCCCCAGCCCATGGGGCCAGGTCATCGTTTGGAGGTGGTGTCCCTTTGGCTTGGGAGAGAGAGACCTCCGGGAGACACGGCAACTTCTGGAGTGGCTTCCCTGAAGGAGAAGAAGAGAAGAAGATTGGATTTATACCCCGCCCTTTGCTACCCGAAGGTGTCTCAGAGCAGCTTACAAACTCCTTTCCCTTCCTCCTCCCCACAACAGGCACCCTGTGAGGTAGGTGGGGCTGAGAGAGCTCTTGACAGAAACTGCTCTTTTTCAAGGACAGCTCTTATCAGAACTACGCCTTGCCCAAGGTCATCCAGCCAGGTGCAAGTGGGGGAGTGGGGAATCAAACCCGGTTCTCCCAGATTAGAGTCTGCGCACTTAACCCACTCCACCAAACTGGCTCTCAGGCGGAGAAAAGGGAGCGGAGCAAGAGTGAGCAAGGCCAGCAACAGAAGAGCAAATGGCGCTGGCAGGAGCTGGAGGCTAGAACTCTTTTCCGATTCGTTCAGTACATTTATTTAGTACATCCCTTCTTACAAGGAACTCAGGGGAACCTACATCATCTTCCCTTCTCCTCCCTGTGAAGTAGGCTGGGTTGAGAGACAGCGACTGGTCCAAAGTCACCCAGCAGGTTTTCCAGCAGCAGAAGGGACTGGAACCTGGATCTCCAAGATCCTACTCTGGCCATCGAACTGCTACCCAACTCTGGTTCTATCTGGCGGCTACATGGGAAAGAAAGATTCGCTGCAAACTGCCACGGGGCGGTGGTGGTGGGGAGCCAATCGGGTGTAGTGGTTAGGAGCGCGGACTCTAATCTGGGAGAACCGGGTTTGATTCCCCACTCCTCCGCATGCAGCTGCTGGTGTGACCTTGGATCAGTCATAAGCTCTCTCAGAGCTGTTCTCTCAAGGGCAGTTCTCTCAGAGCTCTCTCAGCCCCGCCTACCTCACAGGGTGTCTGTTGTGGGGAGGGGAAGGGAAAGGAGATTGTAAGCCGCTCTGACTCCTTCGGGTAGTGAAGGGCAGGGTGTAAATCCAATCTCTTCTCTCTTCATACCATCCCCAGCTTGTGTTTATTGGACATTCTGGCACACAAACATTTCTCTTGCTGCCTTTGTGCCAGTGTGCAACCCACCCCAGAACCCCTGCTTGAGTGCTGCCCAGTGTTCCCTTCAAGGCCACCCGTTCTAGGACCTCTGCCTCTGCTTGCCCAGTACGAGAAACCTCTTCTTTCTTTGATGGCGGCTCCCAAATACCAGCAAGGGAATGGGGTTGGCCTGGGCCAAGTGCACCGCAGCTCTCCTCACCAGTGTCCTTGTCTCCTCTTTTGGGAAGCTGAGGAAGAGCCACCCTGTTCTGCCTTGGGCTGAAAGGAGTCTTGGTAACAGTTTCGTCTTGGTCCTCGATGGCAGCTCCTACCTGGATATGGAGGGAAATGTAGATGAGTTTGGGGGTAACGCAGTTCAAGAAAAGTAGGGATTGTACATCGTAGTCTGAGATAAATGGGGTGAGACTCTTGAAGGGCATGAAACGTACACGGCATTTTTTCAGTACGTTAGGGCAGGAGGGAAACAAAGACCCATCAACCCCAAACTCTAGTAGCCAATTGTTGGTACAGTATAGAATGTTAGGGGAAATGCATTACCTTGGTTTGGTGGTGGGGATCATACATGGTTTAACCTAATTCCACCCATATCCTCCAGCAACTTTGCTAAGTGGAACTGGGGGTTCTCTCATGCAATCCTGCAAGTTCTCAGCAGTCTTCTGCTCTCATTCTTGTGTGCCTCCCCTACCCTCCTAGACACTAATGAGTAAAACTATGGCAGTAAGCCAGTTGTGGAGGCATTAAAAGGCACATCTGGGCCATGTCCTCCTGCTCTGTGGAGGGCTAGCTATGGGGGCCCAGCGTGCAATCACACTTGCTTAAAGCCTTGAGGAGGTTCATGCATAACCTCAGAACCTTACCAAGGCAGTAGTGGCTGGTATGAACGCCAGATGAAGGACAACCCTTGTTGAAGATCTTGCCACCAGGGCCATCCTGAAGTTTCAGCTATCCCAAAACCTGATTTCCAGCCACTACCCTAGACTTGCCCATGGACATATCCCCCCTATGCACTAGCAGTTTCTGTACCTTCTCCAACCAGCCTCGGGTAGGGTCTTCTTTGCTCCTAGCATGGGCCTGCCGCTTCCTGAAGGTCGGGGTCACACTCATCCTCATGGTGCAGCCCGGGTGAGTGGTGACGCTTGCTGTGGGCAGGGATGAGCCTCGGACCAGACTTCCAGTCACTGGAGGGAGCAGGCCAGTTGCTTCCAGGGGTGCCATTGGCTGAGCCCCTTCCGGGACCATTTCTCTCTGCCTGGCTTCTGGGATGCCATGTGGCTGGAATGGCATCTTTGAGCTGATCCAGTTGTGGCGCCCCCAAGTTAGTCTGTGGTACCCAAAAGGCGCTTAGGAGCTCCTGAACATAGTCGCAGAACAGGCCAGACTGAAGGGGAATGCCTGCCAGAGGAAAGCCCAAGCCTGCCTTTTTCCTCAGCAAGCATCCTTCTGTTGCAAGTGCCCCCAAGTGTATCCCATGATCTGTTCGGGTTGGAACAGCGTTGCTCTGGTTCACGGTGAGTTCAGCAGCTCACTCTGGAGCCAAATGACAAAAAGGCCATTGGGCACCGGCAGTGCATGACAGGTGCACTCGTGCACTGAACCCTGATACAAAGGGGCCTTGCTGTGACCTCCCTGCTGCTGTACTTTGGGCCATGAAATATGCATAGGGCTGCCCGGGAGGCAGTAACTCCAGCCTGTCCACAGCTCAAGTCCTGAATGACTGAGGGCAGGCCGCAAGAAGCTTGCTGGCCATGTCCTAATCTCTGTACAGGTGCCCCAAGAAGGAGAAAGAAGGCTTAACACTGAAGATACCACCGGCATGGTACAGAGGTTAGTGTTAGGCTAAGAGCTGGGAGACTCGGGCTGGAAACCCCACGCTGCCATGGAAACTTGCTGGGTGATCTCGGGCCGAGCGTTCTCTTAGCCTGACCTACCAGAAAGGGGTCTTGTTGTGAGGATAGAAAGGAGAGGGGGGGAGGAAAATGTGGTAAATTGCTTTGGGTTCACACTGGGGAGAAAGGCAGGATATAAACAGCTAAACAAACAAGAGAGAGCAAAATCTTGACTTAGCAAGATGTGTGAAGAAGGAAACAGAGTGTAGGGCTGAAAGGCAGTGTGGGGAGAGGGGGCCTTCCTATTCTTAAGAATGTTGGTAGAAAGAGACTGCCTTTTCCGAGAGATCCCCGTTGTCTTCCCAGCGTCCACAATGACGGTATCATTTTACCTTTGTGGTCCTGTCCTGAGTCAGGGAAGCTGTGCTCTACAAAGCAATGTTCTGAGCAGACAGTTGAAGAGGAAAAGGACACGCACCAAGCACCTTCTTCTGTCAGGGCTACATGTTAAGCAGCTGCCAGTTAACAGATACCCCTGGGGCGAGATTTATATGGTTGCCAGCCTCCAGCTGGGGCCTGGAAATCTGATGGAATTCCAGTTGATCTCGACTCCAGTTCCCCTGGGGAAAATGGCACCTTGGAAAGGTGGAATGGATGGCATTATGCTGTGCTCAGATCCCGCCCCAAAGCCCACCCTCCCCAGGCTCCAGTCCTCAAATCTCCTGGGATTTCCAACCAGGAGTTGGCATCTCTATGTGAGAATAAGCATTAAGGTACCTAGCATCCAGCTCTCCAGCAGTTATGCCATGTGGCAACAGGACACCTCTCTGCACTTGGAGGAGGGATCACAACTCTATGGGCTTTGCTCACAGCATTTCTCCAGATCCAGCACTTGCAGGGATACTTCCATATTGTGAAATATACCAGGAAAAACACTCTCTACTTGATCACCACACTATTTCTCTGAGTTGCTGCCTTCTTTGTGAAGGAACTACCATGGGAGGTGGTAGTTTCGCTCTATTCTGCTATGGTCAGGCCTCACCTGGAGTACTGTGTCCAGTTCTGGGCACCACATTTTAGGAAGGATGTTGACAAGCTCGAGCGTGTCCAGAAGAGGGCAACCAGGATGGTGAGAGGGTTGGAATCCAAGTCTTATGAGGAAAGAGTTGGGTATGTTTAGCCTGGGAAAGAGAAGGCTTAGAGGGGACATGATTGCAGTCTTCAAGTATTCAAAGGGCTGTCATGTAGAAGATGGAGCAGATCTATTCTCTCTTGCTCCGGATTGCAAGGCTAGAAATTACAAGGGTGGAAATTACAAGGGTGGAATTGCAAGGGTGGAAATTACAAGGGATTGTAAGGGTGGAAATTGCAAGGGAATCGATACCGGCTAAATAGCAGGAGAAACTTCCTAACTGTAAGAGTGGTTGAGCAGTGGAACAGACTGCCTCGGGAGTTTGTGGATGCTCCTTCGCTGGGCGTTTTCAAGCGGAGGCTGGACGACCATCTTTCGGGTATGCTGTAGGGCTATCTTTCGGCTATGCTCCTGCAGAGTGCAGGGGGTTGGACTAGATGACCTGCAAGGTCCCTTCCAACTCTTAACATTCTATGATTCTATGACTTTAACCATGTCAGAAAAGGCACAGGTGTCCTTGGTTTACTGGGACTGGAGTTTTTATATGAAAGTACCCGTTGACTCATGTATGTCTTTTGAGATCGGATCACAATTCCACCTCCTGTCTTTCAAGTTTTGTTTGGCCCACAGCCTCATCACCATCAACCCAACGGAATCTCTTGTTTGGTGACAGTTTCCATTTTTTAATTTAGTAAGGATTTCCACTGGCAACTTTTGCATTTATGTGATATAAGCATTACCCAACCTTGAATAGTTACAGTGGACAGCAAGGCATGAAGAAAAGTATCAAGCAAGCAAATGAAGTGATATAGAAGTCTCATTATCCTGGACACTGTTGCTATAGTAAACAAGAGGAGAATTTCAGCCATTTTCATCCATCCCCATGAAGGAGACCCTTATAGGATCAGTAACGTTCCCCTGTACAAAGATCTCAGTTATACAGAACATGAAGTCAAGGAGCAGATTGTTTCCAAGACAGGGGCTAAACCACAATTTGGCAACCCAGATCAGCAGACTTTTTAAAATTAAGGAGCAGCCGATTGCTACCAGTCCTTCCCAGCAGCATCACCTTCCATAGCAGTTTTTGAAAAATGACTGCCACAGTAACAACCAAACCACAGGGCTTAAAAATTAGCAACCTAGATTTCTGAACCTAGATTTCTAGAGTTTTCTAGAGAGCCAGCATGGCGTAGTGGTTAAGAACGGTGGACTCTAACCTGGAGAACCGGGTTGGATTCCCCACTCCTCCACATGAAACCTGCTGGATGACCTTGGGTCAGTCTCAATTCCCTCAGAACTCCCTCAGCCCCCACCTACCTCACAAGGTGCCGGTTGTGGGGAGAGGAAGGGAAGGTGATTGTAAGCTGCTCTGAGACTCCTTAGGGTAGAGAAAAGTGGGGTATAAAAACCAACTCTTCTTCTTCTTCTTGAACTTAGCCCAGCTTTTTCATCAAGAAAAACATTGGTTATTACTAATTTCCTAAAATGCCTTTGCCGTCTTCATTTTCCAGAAATTTGACCAGTCTACAATGGAATAAGGCTCACTTATTTTTTCTTTTTTTCTTTTTCTTTTTCATACAAAAGCTTTTATTTATCCACCCGGCATATTCCCAGCAGCCCTTTGCTCACACCTTGCACCAGAGAACCTCCAGGCCCTGGCCACAGACCACGCTACGCCAGCCGTGTTGCCCGCTTTCCCAACACTCTAGAGCAGCCACATCAGCTACGTGGCAAAACTTGCTACACACAAAAGACAGGCTGTCCTCACCGAGGCACCACAGCGTCAGTCGTTGGTCCACAGAAACAGAAAGGAGGTAGTCGGGATGTAGGAGTCGGACTCCCGTCACGTGAGCCGCATGTGCACAAAGCCTTGAGAACTTTCTGAGGACACGGATGCCAGCCCCACCGGTGGTTCCCTGGTTGGCCAGGCTTTCGGCATTCACGTCGATAACACAGATGTGGATGGAACCATCGTCACTGCCACTGGCCACGAGGAAATGGCCACTCGCTCTTTCCTGGACATGGAGGCTATTCACACCACAGCTGTGAGCCTGGATGGTAAAGACCGGGGTTCCCAGAGCTAGAAAAACACAGAGGCTCTGTCACAATACAATGGAAGAGGCTGGAGGAGGACACAATGCTGGCCAGAGTTCTCACAATGCCCCTGCAACAGGGAGCATGTATGGGATGGGGCGGGTCCACGGCTCAGTGGCAGAGCATCTGCTTTGCATGCAGAAGGTCCCAGGTTCGAGGCCCACCATCCCCAGTTACAAGGATCAGGAAGCAGGTGTCGTGAAAGACCTCCACCTGAGAACCTGGAAAGCAGCTGCCAATCAGAGCAAGCAATACGGATCTTGATGGGCCGAGGGTCTGACTCAGTATAAGGCAGAATCATGTGTTTTTATCATAAACCACGGGTAACAATAAGGGTACACAAAAAAGACAGTCAATACGATCACCTACCAAGAGGTTTCATCTCTCTGACTTCTGCCTTTATGGCCTCCGTTGCACAATCAACGGTAGCCGTGATATCCCAAAATGCAATGCCCCCATCAGTGGCAGCGCTGGCCAAGTAGTGTCTCCTGCAAAATAAAATGCATTGCGATGTTTGACCTTCCGGAGTACTCAGGTGTGACCAGCCCACCTCAGACTTTGGGTTTAATTTTTCCAGGCATGAGAGTGCACTGGCCATGAGAGATGCCTCCTCAGGGCACACTGAGAGAATGCAGCTGCCCCATTCTCACCTTCCTCTGTCAGCCGTCTTGCATGTAAACCCTTGGACTTTCAGGACACAACGCTGATGGTGGAAGGACTCTGCCACAAGCCACAGTTTCTGGGAGTGCTCCAGCAGCAAAAAGAGTCTGTACAGACATACATGCAGACAGTTGAAATGAGAGGAGATGTCATTTCTACTAAGGGCACAGAATGGCTGAGCAGTACCTTCAAGATTAACAAAATGTATTTCAGCAAAAGCATTCATGAGTTAGAGTTCACTTCTTCAGATGCATACAAGTACACATCAAAGGCTGCAGTTACACTCTGTCTCGGGCCATGATGCTCTGTATTCTTGGTGTTTGGGGGGCAACAGTGGGAGGGCTTCTGGAGTTCTTGCTCCACTGGTGGACTTCCTTATGGCACCTGAGTTTTGGCCACTGTATGACACAGAGTGTTGGACTGGATAGGCCATTGGCCTGATCCAACATGGCTTCTCTTATGTTCTTCTTACATGCTGGCTTACTGCTGCTCAAGTTCCCTTCTCCAATTTGGGAAAGGGCTGCCCTGGACAAATAAAGCAGCAGCTACCCCACAGACAGTATCTGGTCCCGCCTGCCTCTCTTCCTCCCACTCTTTGTCCTCTCTGGATTTTTTTCTGGCAGCCAGAGAGAACCCACAGCGACTTCCCAGGCCCCTAAGAGGTAGAATTCAATGCCCGTTCTTACCGGACAGATCCATCACTGCAGGCAGCAGCTAGAAAGACTAAAGGACCGGGCAGCTCTGCATCCTCAGGACTTGCCAAAACTGCAATAGACATATACCTGGAACACAAAAGTCAAGACAAATCATTCCCTCCAGCTGGCAGCTTCCAATGACCCCCCCCCCCCCCCCCCGCCTAGACAACAGAGGGGTCGACCCTACATTCCAGCATCCTGTTCCATGCAGTGGCCAACCAGCTGCCCTGGAGAGCAAGCACCGAGGGCATGGAGGCCAAGAGCAACCCCCTGATGTCCCCTCCTAGCATTGGCATTCAGAGGTTTCCTGCCTCTGAAGGCGGAGTAGCCAGCGATGGACCCCGTCCTGCAGGAATCTGTCTGGTCCCTGATCCCAGGCATCTATGCTCATGGCTATCCTTCCGTCGACTGGCAGGGGATTCTACACTCCCGTTACCTGTTCGAGTAAATAAATTTTGAGAAGTACTAAGTAAACAAGTATAAACCTTGCATTTTGTACTAATAATCCCTATGTTACCACCGTATCCCATGCATCCCTATACTTCCCCCCTTCTGTATCCATGCGTGGTTATTCTGAATCACAGGCCTGTAGAATGGGGAGCAGGAGGTTCTGTGAAGAGTAGAAATTAAAAAGATCTGTTTCTTTTCAAAATAATTAGCCACAAGGTATAGATGGGGACTCTGGGGCAAGGGAAGCTCTGTCTTCTTGGTGCTTGGGGGGGGGGTCAACAGTGGGAGGGCTTCTAATGTCCTGGCCCCACTGCTGGACCTCCTGATGGCACTGGTATTTCTGGCCACTGTGTGACACAGAGTGTTGGACTGGATGGGCCTTTGGCCTGATCCAACATTGGCGTCTCTTATGTTCTTAATGTATTCTGCTATTTCTAGTCATGGGAGGGGCCTCAAAACTGACCCACTGGAAATCCTGCCCCAGCTCTGGCAACTGAGATTTTGCCATGTGTTGCCCACATAGTTTCAAACTTCACAGCTTTAAGAGTTTGACACGGCAGCTGAGATTGTCGGGATGTTGAATTCTATGTCCAGTGCCAGATCCCAAGCTTACAGGATGCTGTCTGAGAACCGTGTATTAAGTATGTATACAGAGATGCAGGTGAGACAGGGATCTGTGCTTTGTGCATGGTGGTAACATATGACAATGATCAATTTATGTTGCCAGCTTTATAGTTCTTTACTCAATACTTCCCAATACTTATTTCTTTTTAAAAGTGCATGTTTCTCGTCATCCTAGTTAAGCGAAGAAAATTTAAAAATATCTGGAGAAGACCTGCAAAAAGATTAGAAACCACAGGGATTTTCTGCATTTGATGCAGAAATTGCCCCAGAGGTTCAGGGGAGGGATTGTGACTCAGTGGTAGAGCATCTGCTTTGCATGGCAAAGGTTCCAGGCTCTGTCTCCAACGTCTCCAGTTTAAAAGACCAGGTAGGAGGTAATATTGAAGGCATTAACCTAAGAACCTGGAGAACTGCTGCCAGTCAAAGCAGGCAACAATGACCTGAACAGACCAATGGTCTGAGTCAATAGTAGAAGAGGAGGAGATTGGATTTATACCCCGCCCTTCACTTAAGAGTCTCAGGCCCCGGTCACACGGGCAGGAAAATGCAGGGGGGGGGAGCGTGGCTGTTTGCCCCGGAGCCAAATAACGTGCGGCTGCGCGATCAGACGTCCCGTCGAGGTCCCGTGGTTAGGGGGGAGGTGCCGATCACAGGACAATCCTGCGGTGTGGCAAAGAAGCGGCCTCTCTAGCAAAAGGCTCCACGGGTTTAACCCCTTCCGGGGCTGCAGAGGAATGCAAACTGTGTCCTCCATCCGGTCCCCTCCAGGAGGAGCTGCAGCCGGGCCGCCCTCCTGCCACGCGCCCCCTGCACCTCCCCCTCTGCCGCCCGGTGCAGAGAGTTCCTCTCGAGCAGGCGGAGCCAGGAGTGTGGGAGGATACGGAAAAGAGGAGGGGGCTGTGTTGTTTGTTTTTAAATGAAGTGTGCGCATGTGCTGTTGGGTGCTTGTGCGCATCCCGTGGAGACTTGGAAAAAAAAACTTTTAGCGACGGGACATGGGCGGGCGCCGGATGCCACGACCTACCACCCGAAACGCGATCAGGCGCCCACCCTTGCCCCGCGGTTTCTGGAAACTAGTACCTCGGAGGTACTAGTTTTTTACCCCGCATCTTCGGCGGGAAGCCTCGGGTTCGCCACAGGAGCTCTACGCTTCCCAGATGTGGCGCTGTGATCGCTCCCAGAAAGTCCGCCTATCTTTTGTCTCTGTAGCGTGGCTAATGCTCAGAGTGGCTTACAATCACTATCCTTTCCTCTCCCCACAACAGACACCCTGTGAGGTAGGTGGGGCTGAGAGAACTCTGAGAGAAACTGCTCTTTCAAGAACAGCTCTGAGAGAGCTGTGACTGACCCAAGGCCACCCAGCTGGCTGCATGTGGAGGAGTGGGGAATCAAACCCAGCTCTCCAGATTGGAGTCCGCCACACTTAACCACTACACCAAAGGGACACGTAACATGTCTCCCCCCAGTGCTCGTTCCACACGTCAACCACTGCACCACATTGGCTCTCTTTAAGCACTTTTTATAACATTTCCAGCAGACTGGGAATGAGAGTTATTCTCAAGGCCAGTTGGATGCAAACCTTGCACCCCCTTCGACAACAACAGAATGTGTGTCTGCGTGGGCACAAATGGCAGAGGGGCAGGTGTCTGGTGGCACCTCAGCCCTGATACTGGAGAAGGTACAGGTTCCGTATTCTGTGTATGGCCTTCCAGGGCTAGTTCTTCCAACCCAAGATAATACTCTACAGCCACAGGGCCACTGCTGCTACCTGGTCTCTGGGTCCATCTTGACCAACTTGTGCCTGTTCTTCATGCGATCCCACTGCTCATCCAGCCGATGGGAGGCCAAGTGGACCAGCCGGCACAACACGCCACTGCTGGAACCATGGTCAGGGCTGAGCCGTACGCAGTAACATTCAATCTGGGCCCGGCCGCCTGCCGAGAAAAGGACGGAGGAGGTGCTCCCTGCCTCCTGCTGAATGGCACTGCTCCTCTCCACCACGGCCAGAGCTCTCACGCTCGAGATGTGGTCACCAATAGCCGTGAGCTGAGTCAATGTACGAAACCGTGCTTCAAAGGCTAGAATATTCACCATGTTGTCCTCGCTGCCGGTGGCAAAGACGCTCACCAGGTCCTGCCTGGATGTTCTTAGAGTCCCAAGGCGGCACACACATGTCAGCTCTCGCCCGTGCAAAGACTCTTTGAGGGCCCGCTGCCCATTGGGCATGTCCTTACTATGGTGGACCACCACGTCCCTGGATCTGACGTAAGCAAAGGTCTCAGCAGAGAGGCTGCGGGTGTAGCTCCAGGAGCGGTGGCCACCCCCACACGGGACGCTGAGCAGCGTCTCGTTGCTGCTGGCGTCCCAGAGCACAAAGCAGCCGGCGTGGAAGCCCAGGACCCGCGTGCTGCCGTCAGAGCCGAAACGCAGCCCTTCCAGCCACTCCAGGCCTTTGCACGGCTTCTGCTTCCTCAGCACTCGGAGCTGCCGGCCCACGACCTGGAGCTGCCGGTAGCAGCCGTCACGCCCTGTGCTGTAGACGAAGTCACGGTGGCAGGCCACGGAGGTCACGCCGGTCTTCCCGTGAAGTCCAAAGATCAGAGAAACAGGCCCCTCGGTGGGCAGCCCCTCCCCTCTAATGGGAAAGTCCAGCCCTGGCCCATCATGGACCGTCACCGACACCGAGTCCCCAAAGTCTCCTCTCCCTGATGCCTTCTCCTGTTCCGAGTCGAGGGGGGACCGACATGCAAACAGCATCAGAGAGCCCCGGCGGTCACCGCAGAGCAGGAGATCTCCCTGCGGAAGGAAGGCGGTACACGTGTGCCATCGGTGCTTGCAAGGCGGCAGGAGGAAGCATCTCTTTACTACCACAGTCACGGCACTGAGTGGGTGGCAAGACACCTCCAGCCACAGCAGAACGCCAGCCGAGCCAGACACAAAGAGACTGCGAGTGTGGAGGTCCTGGCCGGGGCGGGAGGACCAGCTCAGCCTGTGCACTTTCTCCTCGAAGAGTTGAAGATCCTTGGCTTGAGCAGGGTGGCGGAGAAGGAATAGTTTGACCTGCCCTGAAATATTGCCCATGGCGCATAGGACATCTCCCCCCGCAAGCTCAGACACTTCTAGGAGGCTGTAGGACCGATAGGCAGCATCCTCCAGGACCAATGTCCAGGCTTTAGAGGTCAAGTCAAACAAGTACACGGCCCCAGCATCGGTCGCTAGGAGGACATGGCCGGCACCCACCAGTTTTACCACTCTGGGTGATCCTTTCCTTTGAGGGGATGGGAAATTGAGTTGCAAGAGGCTGCTCCCATTGGTCCCCGGCCCTTTGAAGTGCCAGCATCTAATGCCAGAGTCGGCCCCACCCGTGAAGACACAGCCCCGTGACTCATGCACAGCCACTGCGCGCAGACCTCGGCCTTTGTGCCCTTTGAAGCTGCGGACAATCTCGCCTTGGTAGCTCCACACGAGACAAGCGGAGTCTTCTCCTATGCTGACGACGTAGTCATTCAGTAGCCGGACCGACCACACCCTGGACTGGTGCCCGTAGCACACCAGGAAGCACGGGATGTGATCCGGAAGCACTCGGAGGTTGCCGACGCCCCACAGCCGCAGGCTCCGGTCATCTGAAGCGGAGGCCAAGATGCCTTTGCTTTCCAAGTAGCAGATGCTGAAGATGACACCGTGGTGCCCGCTGATCCTGCCGCGGGGTCGTACCCTCCCTGTGTCGTCCGCTGGGTCAGCTGCACACCAGATCACCAGCTGGTTAAAGACGGTGCCAGCCACCAGGACCAAACTGTCCCACCTGCTCCCAACCAAATGGGCAGAGTAGAGGATGCATTTCTCTTGGCAGTGCACTTCTTGGAGGATCCTTTGGCCCACACAGTCATACAGAGCCACAGAGTTATGGCCCAGAGCCAAAGCCACACAGCTGGGGGGGGTCTCGGTGCTGCCTTCCAGCCACTGCAGGTCCCAGATCCAATCATGTAGTTCACAGGAAGGAAAGAGCTCGGCTAGCTTTATCGTGCTGTTCTGGAGGCTGAACTCTATGACGGCAAGGCTTTTGCCCCCAAAGACAGCCAGGGTAGTGGCTTCCTTGGCTTCCGGAGCCAGTTTCTGTTGCTCTTTGATACCATGGATGTTATCGTTGTGAAGGGCCTGTTTGAAGCATCTTGGAGACTGGATGGCATCTGGCTCCAAAGGGTAGATGGTTATGTTGGGTCCTTCACCTGGAAGAGCACAAGAGGCCAGAATCAGCAAGACAAAAGGAGATCAAAGTGCCGCACTCTCTTTTCCACAGTGCCCGCACCAGCTCAGAGTCTCCTTGCGGGGTGTCTGCATCGTATACAAAGACCCAAGGTGGTGTTGCTTCTGACGGGTACTTCTGATGCACACCTTCTAGCCTTTCTGCCAGAGATCAGCTAGCAGCCTGAGCAGACAGTGGTGCGCTGGATGGCTATAAAGGCAGCTGCAGGCGATCACACATTTCGGGGCAGGGAATTAATGAGGAGGGCCCATAGCTCAGTGGCAAAGCAAGGCAAAGCGGCATCGCAAGTCACAGGAGAGCCTGGAGGCCTTCTGCCATTCAGAGTGGACCATCCTGGGTTAGATGAACTGATCGCTCTCTGACTCTCAGTAGAAGGCAGCGTCATAGGTCAGGACCTTGGAAACTGCTTCCCCGGAACTGACCAATCACTTTACTCCTGACTGAAACCAGAAAAGTCTTCCAATTAGTTCTCTAATTCCAACCATGTCCGTGATTTCCCTGATGGTAATCTGGTCAATCCTGAAATAACCAGACCCTTGGAAGCCCTGTACAGCCAGGGACGAACATACCTTTAGGACTGCCTCCTCCTATATGAACCTACCTGTACACTCTGTTCATCTTTGAAAGCCCAGCTTTGGTTTCTCCCCACCACCTGAAGTTGGATGGGTGAAAACCTGAGAAAGGGCTTCCTCGGTCATGGCACCAAAACTCTGGAACTTCCCCCCAAGGGAGACACATATGCCTCCTAGAACAAAGATCCTAGAATCACAGAGTTGAAAAGGGGCCATACAGGCCATCTTGTCCAGCCCCCTGCTCAGTGCAAGATCATCCTAGAGCAGTGGTGGTGAACCTATGGCATGGGTGCCTCTCTGTGGGCCCTCTCTGTGGGCACGCGTGCCATCACCCCAGCCAGGCCAAGACCATCATTAAAGTGTCGAATTCTCTGCCAAATGATTTTAAGTAAATGAAAGCATTTGGGATTGCTTTCCTTACTTTGTTTGGATCATCTTAAGTTAATGTATGAGTTGTTTTTTCTAAAGTAAAACCTCAGTATTGAGGTTAAATTGCCGTGTTGGCACTTTGCGATAAATAAGTGGTTTTTGGGTCGCAGTTTGGGCACTCGGTCTCTAAAAGGTTCGCCATCACTGGCCCAGAGCATCCCTGACAAGTGCTTGTCCAGCCGCTGTCTGAAGACTGCCAGTGAGGGGGAGGTCACCACCTCCCGAGACAGCCCATTCCACCGCTGGACCACTCGTCCTGTAAGTTCCCCTTCCCCCAATATCCTAATGTATGATCCGGTCTTCCCCCTTGCCACTGGCACACTGTTAAGCTATCCTCTACTGGTGTCTTTCACCTAGTAGCTGTTTGTACGGTTGGCTTAAGACCGTACAATAAATGAAAGGAAGCTAATAAATGAAAGGAAAGGGTGTCTTTCACCAGCAGGTGAAACACTGGCCCTTCTTCTAGTGTTGTTTGTTTATGAGGTTTTAATGGCATTGTTTTATAACCTTACCTGTATTCTTAATTGGTTAAATGTTTTCAATGTTATGTCCGCCACCTTGTGGACCCGATCGAGTGGAAAGGCAGCACAAAAATGTTTTTAATAAATAAACAGAATCCTAGAATCACAGAGTTGGAATGGGCCATACAGGCCATCTAGTCCAGCCCCCTGCATCCTTGACCAAGTGTTCGTCCAGCCGCTGCTTAAGGACTTCCAGTGAGGGGGAGCTCACCCCCTCCCTAGGCAGCCCATTCCACTGCTGCACAACTCTGACTGTAAAAATGTTTTTCCTAATATCCAGCGGGTACCTTCCCACCCTCTATTTAAACCCATTACTGCAAGTCCTATCCTCTGCTGCCTGATGGGATTCTCCAGCTTGCTGCTTCCCTGCCTTAAGTACTACCCCCAAGCAGCTTTACACCCTTCTGAGTGCACTGAAGTGTAGGAGCCCAGAAGGGTGTAACTCTGCTTAGAATGGCACCCCTGTCCCTCTGTGCTCAGCCAGCTTTCTTTGCCCCCGTTCCTGTTGTGCCTCGCTATTCAGCAGGGCAGAAATGTGGACGCTGAAACAAAGAAAAAGCAAAGAAAGGCAATATAGAAATATCTGGATAAATACATATGTATCGTGCTTGGCTATACTCAGTACTTCAGGGTCAGGGCCAGATATCTGGGATATCGTTTTCAACATTTACTGACAAAAATCTCTGGGAAGAGTCTGAGCCATCACCCTTTTGGAACGACAGAACTACAGGGCTGTCTGCAAGTCACCCACCTGCCATCAGATGGTCTCCTACGATCTCCAGAGCTGTGATAGGAGCCAACAGCAATTCTGTTTCCATTGCTGCGGAAGGATGGGAGATGCGGTCCCTTGCTGGTTCTCTCATTCTTACACAAGAGGATACAGACGTGTTCAGAAAGAAAACCCGTGAGGTATGCTCCAGATGCGCATCAGCTCAAAATGATCACTGTCATAACGATCTTGTACAAATCAACGTTGTGGCTGTACTTTGCATCCTGTGCACATTTCTGATTGGTAGTAGAAAGTGCTGTTAACTTGCAGCCGACTTCTGGCAACCTGTAGGGTTTTCAAGGGAAGAGAGAGTCAGAGGTGGCTTGCTATTGCCTGCCTGCCTATATGGATATACCTGTGTTAAACTTGCTTTCCCCAAAAACCTCAGAGGGACCTGGGAGACAGAAATGCAGTAAGACCAGGGTCCCACAACTCATATTGGTCTGTCACAGGAAGGCAACAGGGAGCCAGAAAAGACTCCATTTTGAAGCAGCCTGACAGGCTCAGGAGGAACCGAGCCAAATAGGAGGACGGTGAGGAAGCACGTATGCAGGATCTCATGACTGCTACAATCAACAGAGACAACCAGTCTGGCCATACTAATCCCATCTTCCCTGACCCTGGCATCACCTTAGTAAACGGCACTGACTCCTCCAACATAATTTCGAGAATCTAGCACCCTTCCCCATTCAACACTGAGCCAATGACATGTAGAAAGACAAACACTGGTGAAACCAAGCATCCTGCACATACTCAATTTTAATCTGGCTACTCATTACACCCCGAGCCAGCCCACCCCTGGGTCTCAAAATCACATTTTAACTGGCATTCTACGCCTCAATTTTTGTATAGCTCTTGGGGCCCGTAAGAGTGTACCCTCAGACCATCTTTTCGTAGATCTCTAGAATACATTCCATAACTTCCTGCTCCCTTATTTATCTCAGATTCCAATCTTACCCACTTGTCCTCTTTCCTCCATTCTAACTCCATCACTATTTTTAGCTGAAATGCATCATAATAAGCTTGTATACATGGTAACCCCCATCCTAAATCATCTTGGGGCATATATACTAATTTTTTTATCATTCTTGATTTTTTCCGTCCAAACACCCAGTTTTTAATATGTTCATCCCATTTCCTCATAACTGCTTGGTCTAATTCTATTGGGAGTACCTGAAGTAAATATAGCATCTTTGGAAGTATAAACATCTTTACTGCTCTAATTTTCCCTAAAATACTCAAATTCTTGTTTTTCCACTCCTTCAGTTTCTTTATTATCTTTGACCAAGCCTTATTATAATTAATTTTTTGCAGCCTCTCTATATTTCTATCGAGATATACTCCTAGATATTTAATCTTCCGAACTCCTGATTTTATCCCCGTTAGCTCTAGTATCGCTCTTTTAGTTTCTCTATCTACATTACTAAACATTATTTCAGATTTCTTAATATTTATTCCAAGCCCAGAACTTAACTTAAAATCGTCTAAAATAACTAACAATTCTCTTATTGCCTGTAATGGGTTACTTATTGTCAGCAGGATATCATCCGCAAAGAGATTCAGTTTAAGTTCTTCCTTGCCTATTTGGAATCCCTGAATTCTACCACTATTTCGTATCCTATCTGCTAGGGGTTCCATTGCTAATGCAAATAGCCTAGGGGACAATGGGCACCCTTGCTTTACTCCTCTCTCAATTAAGATTTCTCTAGTATGTCCATCATTTATTCTAATGACTGCTTTGCCTCCCCTATAAATTTCCCTTATAGTATTCAAATACGGTCCCCTAAAGCCAAATTTTTCCAATACCTGCATTAGATAATCATGATTTAAAGTGTCGAACGCCTTATATACATCTAATTTTAATAAAACTAATGTTTTCTTATTTTTACAGGACAAGGCATTTAGTATATTTCTCAATGGGTGGGCTATGAATCTATTTTTGACAAAGCCATATTGATCTTCCTTGACTAATTTTGATAGCAGTTTTCCCAATCTATTATCCAACACTTTTGTAAAAATTTTATAATCTTGATTCATCAGACTAATTGGTCTATATGAATTTATATCTAATGGATCCCTCTGGGGTTTTAATATTGGTAGAATTTCAGCTTTCTTCCATGTGTCTGGCATTTTGCCTTCTTTTAGAATATAATTAAATAATCTTTGCATTTCTGGAATCAGAATCTCCGCCATTTCTTTATAATATTCTGCCGTGAACCCATCCAACCCGGGGGATTTCCTATTTTTTAACCCTTTTATTACTTCTGCTATTTCCTTCTTTGTAATTTCTTCATTCAGTCTTTCTCTCTGTTCTGATGTTAACTTCTTATCTAGTTGTTCCTCAAATTTTTGGTTTTCTCCAGATTTAAATAGTTGCTGATAAAATTTAGCAAATTCCTCTCTTATCTGAGTATTTTTAAAAAGCTGGTTCCCCCCATCCCCCTTGACACATCCTATTTTTTGTTTTTCTTTTCTTGATTTTAGATAATTAGCCATTCTTTTCATTGTATTCATATTAATTCTATGATATTCGTTTTTTACTAATATTTCTTTTTTCCACATAGACAAAGAATCTAAATTCTCTAAGTCTTTTTTAAGTTTTTTTAATAATTCCTGAGTCTGCCTATTATAGTTACTCTGAAGTTCCTTTTGTTTTAGCGTGATTTCATTTACTATCCTCCTTCTCTCCTTATTATTTTCTCTTTTAATTCTAATTTCCTTAGCAATATAAACTCCCCTTATCACTGCTTTGGCTGCATCCCAAACTACTTCTTCCCTGGCTGAGTTCCTATTCTCTCTAAAGTAACATTCTATGTTTTTCCTTACGTCCAACCGATCCTCTTCAATTAAAGGCAAATTTGCCTTATATCGCCAAATAAACTCTTTTCGCTCTTCGCTTAATTTAAATTGAACTACCAAAGGAGCATGGTCCGAAATCCATATAGGCTCAGTTATTGTTTTCACCACCTCTATCTCATTTGTTTCCTTTACTAAAACATAATCAATATATGAAAAGTTCTTAAATCTATTAGAGAAGTATGTAGGTTGTAACGTTTTCCCTCCATACATAAATGCATCTTTCAATTTCCATTTCTTAAGCTTCAGAGTTTTACTTTTCCTAAAATCATAATTAACATCTCCTGCCACTACCAATTCGCCTTCATAGAAGTTCTGCAGTTTCTGAAATATCTTATTCAAAAATCTTACCTGGCCTGTATTTGGTGCATATATTGAAGCTATTGTAAACTTCCTATTATTCATCTTAAATTTCAGAAAAGCATATCTTCCTTCTAAGTCTACTATTTGATCTAATACTTCTATCTTCCAACTAGCATGTATAAGGATCGCTACCCCTCTTGCTTTCTTAGTTCCTCTTGCTTCCACCTTTGTTTCCCACAGTGGCGAATTTAACAAAGGTTTTTTATCCTTTTTAGATTTGTGGGTTTCCTGCAAACACACTATATTTATTCCATGTTTTTTAATCAAATTTTTTAATCTGTACCTCTTTAAATCTGAAGCCAAACCATTTATATTTATAGATAACAATTTTAATGTCTCAACCATTTTCGTCTATACATTCATTATATCTTTGCTCATGTCTATCCTTTATTACTTCGATGGTCCCCCTCATCCCCTTTCCCCCTCCCCGAAGAGCCTCCCCTAAGGGGTATACAGTTGGCATACACCTCCTGACCTCTTCGCTACTTGGTTGAGGTCTACGTTCCCAATTCCCCCCTCCCTTATTCTTTCAATCATGTAAGTTTCAATATAAGCCACCATGCTTATTCTATATTGTTTCTGATCCAAATAATTCAAAATACATTAAACACAAACAAAATACCTCAAACACCAACTTATATCTCTATTCACATTATATGGTGCCAATTATAATCTAAGAGCAGCTAGCATCCTTTCTTGGACGTTTTGACTGGCTTTGCAAAGCCTGACTCGATTCTCCTTCTTCACTACTAGATGTAGTTATGTCGAAAGCTTCCCTTTGTTGGGCTTCTTCTTCCTCCATAGCTTTTGATTCCAACGACGTCAGACCATCTGAGACTTTGACATGAACCACTGGTTGGCCATGTCCTCCTTCTTCCATGTGGATTCCGGACCTCAGGATCAGGTGAATATTGCCCTATCTAAAACCAACCCCCTTCTTGTCACTGTCGATCACCTCTCTGTTTCCTAGCTCTGTCAAGAGCTCTCTCAGCCCCACCTACCTCACAGGGCGTCTGTTGTGGGGAGGGGAAGGGAAGGGAAAGGAGTTTGTAAGCCCCTCTGAGGCACCTTTGAGTAGTGAAGGGCGGGGTATAAATCCAATCTCTTCTTCTTCTTCTCTCTGTGTGTGTTGATCTGTTATTATTTTTGCATGAGTAAGTAGTGTGAACTCTGCATTTATCCACAATAAAACCATTTATTCAATCAGAGGTCTCTTCCTTCCACTGGTCTCCCTCGCAATTTGACCCTCATATACATAGAGTATAAAGAACCCTTGTACATGTGTACTGCCCCAGGCAATCTGTTTAACACAACCCTGGACTTCCTTGGTGGTGTCCCATTCAAATACTAACTGGCGCTGACCCTGCTTAGCTTCTGAGATCTGACAAGATTGGGCTACCTTGGGCTATCTGGGCAAGAGCACATTTCTGACTGCTGTGTCTCAAAAAAGGACATAATCTCTCCTTATATATAATTGAATAGTGGGTGCCAAAGTTCTAGTACGTGGAAAATTTAAGATAAAAAAAGGACATCATGGTGCTTGAAAAGGTGCAGAAAAGGTCAACCAAAATGATAAAGTTTCAGGTGAGCAGCCATGATAGTCTGTAGTACTAGAAAATAAATTTGAATCCAGTAGCGCCTTAGAGGGTAGCCCTGTTGGCCTGCAGCAGAACAGCCAGATTCAAGTCCAGCAGCACCGTAGAGACCAACAAGATTTCCAGGGCAGGAGCTTTCAGGAGCCAAAACTCCCTTGATCAGATATCTGATGAAGGGAGCTTTGACTCCCAAAAGCTGATACCCCCCAAATCTTGTTGGTCTCTATGGTGCTGCTGGACTTGAATCTAGCTGTAGTCAGCAACGTTTTCAGGGCAGCTTTTGCGAGTCAAAGCTTACCTCATCAAAATGCTCAAGGACTGGTATGTGTGCATGAATTAATTACATGATTGTTTATTGTATGAATTGAGAGGGAATAGTGGTTGTCACATGGCTCTGTGCGGGTGGTATCAGACT